TAGATAGATAGATAGATAGATAGATAGATAGATAGATAGATAGATAGATAGATAGATAGATAGATAGATAGATAGATAGATAGATAGATAGATTATACAAACTCTGTATCATTTAAAGTATTGCCATGTATAGTTGCACACGACTCAATAAATTTCTGCACCTATTTTCTATCTTTCGAGGAAAATGTAAAGAAATGAGTGGTGGCTCAACACATTTGCACTGTACTGAATTTAACTATATAGCCTCTTAGCTTTCAGCTACTTGAACCATTTCTTAATTTGTTGACCTTATACTGTTTATTCTCAGCTGTTGTATTCAGTTAAACATTTATCAGTTATGGTTAATTTCACAACTTTCATCTCTCCCACCTTCTCCAACCATTCTCTGGCCTACTATCACAGATAACTTGCTAACATGGGTGGTTCTTCAGCTAATAGGCCACCTTGACCTTGCAGGCTATAAAAGTTACCCCAGATGACCTGCCTGATGTATAAGATTCTTGTTATCGACTTCAAGTCATTTGATGACACACTTACTACTAGTTAATTCACTACTTTGAGCTTCTATTCAATTTTAAATGTTTAGGAAGCCGTTTTTAATGCTATTACCTTCCATACCTTTTTATTTCTACTTAACTAGATTTTCTTTCCTTCCTTTCTTTTTATTTATATGTCCAAGTAGGTGACCTAATTGTTCTACTGAAAGTGTAAAAGCACCCCGTTTAGTTCCTGGACTCCTGGGTGAGAGTCACTGGCTTAGTCAATATGCTTACTTTTACAAACAGCGCCAACTGCTGGAGGTAATGAAGTTGCGGAGTCAATTTCTATTCGCAAACATCTCCACCGTGCAGCGCTGCTGACGTCCCGAGGCAATATGTGACGACAACCCCTAGATGGCAGCAGCGTCCCGTTCTTCCAGGACTGAGCTGCAGCTGTCCTGTTGAACTGGGTTAGATTTGTGGGGCAAATGACCTCATGCCGTAGCATCCTCTTCATCACAGAGGAGATGAAGAGAGGATGATGATGTCATTCTCTGCCACGGTCGTTTTCACCCTGTTATAACTAAAAGCGTGGGTGGATTGGCATCACTGAGAGAAGACACGCGACACCTCGCAGCAGCTAAAAGCAAACCGGGAACTAAATGATGCAACACCAGAACTCAGTGACCCTCGTGGACATGTGAAATCGTGTTTTCCTTCGTAAGAATTTCGTTAGAAAGGCCTGGACTATATGAGAAAGTCAGATATGTGAATACAACTTCACTGTGCCGACATGGACATCTGTGCCTCTCCATATCACATCTGATGTAATATCTGAGCTTGAAGCAATTAAAGCATAAATTTCTATGGTATGACTCCCACGCAACCCGCATCAGCACCGCATTAAGTGACGCCTGGGACTGCTGATGTGCTGTGGCGCACACTAAATTTGGGTGGCGCACACTGCACCAAAACCCCCCGAAACGGAATCCCAGGATATCCCACCCCCACCCACCCCTCGAATCGGAATAGCCCTCGTTCCTCAGTCCTCCTATTCCCCTCCTCTTTTACCTCCGCCTTCTCTCATTATCACCCCCTTCCTCCTCCTCCTCCTCCCCGGCTGTCGGCCTCACGTCCCCAACTCGGGAGCGCCGCCGATCGGTCGCCAGGATTTTCCCTTCTCGGCCAAAATGGAGGAGAAGGTCTCTCGCTTAATGAAGAGAGCACCGACTATATGAGCGGATCTGCTTCAATGATCGGCATCAGGACCCGCTTTTGCTGATATAATAGTTCTTGCAGCAACCTAACACTTTGAGGATATCTATCGCTATTTCCGCACAAGCGAGCGCAGCCATGAGCGCAGGAGAGGGGCTAGATGAGGCTGGGAAGGACGCGGCAGACATAGCGGCGTTTTTCAAATCCGGTAAGTCAGAGAAGGGGCGAGTCTCCCTCTAGGAGACCCTGAGCTATCGGCGTGTTCACTGGTGGTCTGCCACATTGTTGCCAAATATGACAAAAAGCAGTGATGGGCGAGATGCAGAGTGCGCGTCGGACGTGCTGGAGAGATGCTCACAGTTTTGTAGTTATTTACCACATTGTAGTCAACCACTCAGTTGTCATGTCGCACCTTTTTTAATGACAACCACCAATCATACCTCCTGAAATATGGGATTTGATTATTATGCAGTGACCCCATTTTGGGTTGGACCAAGCAGCCTAGGCTACAACAAGGTGTGGATGTGATAGAACTAGACCGTGGTCTCCTCGGGCTGAAGGAGTGTTTTGATGCTATACACACACTATCCATCACAAACCCCACCAGATGTGACTCGATCCTTTTGTAAAATTTATTTTCCATGTCTTCAAATAGAGAGAAACACGGGAAGCCAGTAGATGGGGATATTAGCGAACCTCTCTCATCATCTTATGCACTCATAGGCTAGGCCATAGATGCATGTATGGGCAATAGGTTGCACTCTATAGCGTAGAGCCTCCCTGATATGATGGCATCATCACAACAAACAAGGATTGGCCTGCCAGCCTTATCCCTCACCATGGAAATAATGTAAACACTATTTATAGGCCCTAGAGGGCTTTAAGCCTCCTTGATATCAGCCATGCATTAAGATTTAGGTGTCTGTGGCAAACATTTTTTTAATCAGTTTTTGATCTGTCATTTCAGATAACTGGAGTGTCCTTACTCCAGTGATAATAATTCCTTATGTGTTCCACTCTATAGGAAGATCTGTTTTAATCTGTATCTTAAACAGACTTAACACATTCATGATTAAATGTTTTCTTTTTATCCTATTCAGCCTTTATAGCATACCTCTTTAATCGAATCTGACAATCATTAGGCTGACAGTCCAGTATTGGGAGCACCTCTGATACACAAACAGCACAAGCAGCTGTCTCTCTCTCAGCTGTTTCTCTCTCTGACACCTGGTGCCTTTGGGGTCTGCTGTCCACCACATCCACTTGTAGGAACACACACGCTCACACACACTTACACCACTTAAGTGAAAATTATTTGATAAAATGCAGCAGCCTTGCGCTTGCACGTGCGCACTTTTTAAACAGCCGATATAAACCCCATACCTTCTCCTGGATATTGCCTTCCCTGCCAGTCAGACAGTAAGGAATGTTGTCAAAATGGATTGTATTCAAACCCGTTGTTACGGTTGGTTGGATGCCTGCCAATGTATTTTCCTATAGCTGTGTTGTATCAGGCTGGAAAGTTGGCTCAGAGTGAAGTTGGGCTGCTTGGTTGTTTATATAGCAGCAAATGCAGTTCATACAGTATTCATGATGGAGACAGAAATAGGTTATGCCCTCAAGAAACTTTTATGAGAGCCTATTATGAAGAGAAAGTATGGAAAAAGAAGGTTCTGGGAAAACAACAAAATGCATTGTGAATACTGTCGGACAGTTCAAAGGTGAAAGTTACGCTTTTCTTTGCTTTTTGAGACTTTGAAAAATATGCCCAAAAGCACAAAATCATGTGCACTCAAATACATTAATAACCTGAAATCAATCTGACATTGAAAGTGATATATTTTTACCATTTAGCAGTTTCCTCCTTTCAACACTCTTTTATAAATTTCTATGTACAGCTCCTTAAAGCTGATTGATTCATTTATCAATTTCCCTGACCTTTCTTTTTATGTTCTATTTCTATACCTTTTTACTCTCAGCCCAATGCAAACATGTCAATTAATTAATTTGTTCCTGCATGCATAGCTTGAATCCATGCCAGCCCGTTCCATGTTGAAATATTGCCAAACAGCTGCCCATCCTAGTTGATTCTGAATACCTATTTTGGGGATTTGTGTGTGTGAGTGTGTGTCTGTGGGTGCACTGTGGTGCCCTAGTTAGTCAGTGAAGGAAAACAAAAGGTAGCAGATTCTTTTACTGAACCAACACTAAAGTGATCGATGGGCTACCTGAACAGCTTGGTCACTGACTAAGAGTCTGACTTAGAGAAAGACTAACGTCTTTACGATCTGGATAACTATTTAAGCTTGTACATTATGTATAAAGCTGGTGGACTATTTGGATTGAAAGTGATTTGAGTTTCATCAACACATTTACATCCACATCCAGCCCTGGTGTTTAATTCGCCTCACCTGAACGGATAATATTCTCACTGGTCCTCGAAAATACTCAGTGTTCATCTCCGCGTGATTATTTTCAGTGAGCAGATGGTGCTCCATCTCTGAGTCCCACACTGTTGCTGTGGATCACAGCTCAGCCGCTGAGTCACTCTCCGAGGTTTCTTGTGCCACGACTTAGACTCTAATCTCGAAAATGTTGCAACTGGTCAAAGATGAGACATATTCAGCTGCTCAGCTGTTCGAGCATCCGTCAAGATTTTCACCTAACTGCAGAGAAAACCTCATAAGGCATGGCAGTACAATAACACTCCTCATAGTTATATTTAGTTGTTCCCTATCCTTTATATAAATAGCACAATCAGTTGACTATCAGATCAAGAATATGTATTAATACTCCTTTGTTTCCATTTTGAATTTTGGATTGGATCAAGTGTTTGAAGTAAGGCATCATGGTGCAACAGCTGATTACTCGAAAACGTAACTGTGAAAATATTAGGTCATTTGTGATCAAGGCAAGTTGCTCATAACTAAAGATTTCCCTAGATATAGAAGTCAGGAACTGTTCCATATCTTTATCTGTCTAAATGAGCATGAAAGTTGAAAGGATGAGATCTTAGTTTTGAACATGTAACTAATGTAAATAAAGATAAAAAAGCCCAAGAAACATTAAATAAAAGAAAGCCATCATATTAATGTGAAAAAACCATGTCAGTCAAACTCAATAGACTGAAATCCTATAAAATATCAACCATTTCCTGTTTGAAAATGAGTGGGTGGAAGCAAATGCTTATTCATTCCCTATTTAACTCATTATATGTCTGTTCTTGGTTATACAGTCTAATATATACATATACACTATATGTAAATAAATAGAGCTATGTAATACACAGTCCCTCGTTGCAATAATATATGTGTAACTGTGCACTGATCTATAATAAGTTACCTACGCCTATCTAAATATATAGTTTTTTGTAATATATCATTATTAGGGCTGGGCCATATCATACCGTTCACGGTAATACCGGTATAATGTTGGGCAACAATAAGAAAATGAAATATCGCGATAGAATATGGGTAAAATGCGCACGCGCAGTGCCTTTGTTTACGTATGCACATGGCGGAAAAAGCATGGCGGCGATGGAGAATGAGAAGGGCGAAAGCGGATCGTTGAATGAAACAGATGAACCAGAATTGGTTTGTAAAAATGCTGCAACTTCAGTGGTGTGCAACTGGTTTAGCTTTCATCTGTCAGATACACAACAAATCACTATTTTTGCTAGAGCATGCTAGCAGGCCGTCGTTATTACCGTATTTTTATTTTTTTTTCAAAATACGGCACACTTAAAATCAATCCTTTGATTTTTCTGAAAATCGACACTGCCCCTTACTTTAATGCACATCAAAAACAGCTGCTTGTTTAAGTAAAAATACATTGATGGGGTTTTTTTTGCACTAATAAAGTAGTCGAGTTGTAAAGTATTTTGTCTAGTGTCATATATATATCGTCAGTTATATCGTTATTGCAAATTTTCAAATGCATATTGTGATAAATATTTTGGTCATATCGCCCTGCTCTAATTATTATATACAATTATCCTTATTTAATGTGCAATACAACCATTAGTTTGCAACCTAAAAATCCACTCATTGTCAAAATGAGTAAACTTGAAGTGTAGGTCTGTCAAAGAACAGCAATCTTTCTCATGTATATAGTTATTTTCCTGGGTTTGCTGTTAATAATGTAAGAGTGCGTGAGTAAAGTTGGGATTTTAAACTTCTGTTCATTCATTCATTCAGACAATTATAGAACTGGGGTTGCAGTGCTCTGAGTTTGCAGTGAGTATTGCATGTTCTACATTACAAGTTGTGCAAAATGCAAATCATTATCCAGTTTGACTTCTACAAATATTGACCAATAAGTGTTATTTCATGCTTAAATGACTCTATTCCATGTAATGTCATACATACAGCATGTCTGTCATTAAGATGTGCAGCCAATTTCTAATTTGGCAGATTGCTGAATAGAGTCTTCTGTATTCCATATGGCCAGTGATGTGACACTTGCATCACTAGCAATATGAGCCAACAAATCAGATTATGTTGCAACCCATCATATCTTCTGATTAACCGCTTTCAAATACATTAAGGCGCTTTGGGGCAAGCCTTACTGGCAAGACAAAAAATAAAACTGGGATGATGGTATATTATAAAAGGCATTAATTCATATAGTCTTTTGAGTGATGCTAAATGAAGTTACTGGCCCTGCGCAATACTATTATTGTACAGAGCTGCACTGTGAAACTCAATTGGCGTAAAAGCAACCAGATGTATGTTGGAAGAAGGTCCAATAACTGTCAAAACATCTTGCATTAGAGCCATATTCCCAGTCTGCAGTCAACTACATTGGTCATAGGACTGGCATCTTTAGTCATAATATCAATAAACTATAGGGTTTAGTACGGTAGGGCAATATGGCCAAAAATATTTATCATGATATATATTTGAAAATTTGCGATAACAATATAACTGACGATATAATTGATGTGAAACAAAATACTTTACAACTCGACAACTTTATCAGCGCAAAAAACCCCCCCATCAATTTTATTTCACCTAAACAAGCAGCTGTTTTTTATGTGCATTAAAGCTATATAAAAATTTTACAGTGCAAATGCAAATTCCTTGCTGACAGTTTAACCAAAAGGCATTTCCAGTGAAAATGGGCGGAAATATCCTCAGCATAACCATGTATAATATCCACAAAAGTTAAAAAGAGGTGCTTAGCAACATGAAACTGCAGTGTGCCAAA